TTTCTTTTTTTCTTTTTTTTTTTTTTTTTTTTCTTCGTTTTTAACACTTTGAACGATTTTATTAGAATTCGTTTACGATCGAAACTTTATTTCGCAATAACAATTTAAAAGATTTTTCAAATTTCTTTCGTGATTTTTCGAACACTCATAGGTATATTTATTAATACGTGGAAGTAAAGTTTCATGTTATAATAATAAAAGAACAATAAATTCTTCTCTATTTATTTAATCTAGAAAAAGTTATAAAAATTATTAGATTAATATGTGTGTGTGTATTTTACATATATATTTTAGTTATTAAATTAATGTGTGTACGTATATATATATAATATATATAATATATATATATAATATATATAATATATATAATATATATAATATATATAATATATATATATATAATATATATATATATATATATATATATATATATATATTAATCTAATAATCTCTATAACTATAATAAAATACATATAATATAATATATTGTAATATATATACATATATAGATTTGTAAAAAACCAATTCGGCACTTACCATGTTTACGAGCAAAAATGTAATCTCTCATGATCTTTATTGATCAAATTTGTTACATCATTTGCTTTGGTGTCTTGCGGTTTAAAGATTTATCGTAATTATCATGAAATATTCCGCATACAAAACATGAGGATTTTCTCTCTCTCTCTCTCTCTCTCTCTCTCTCTCTCTCTCTCTCTCCCTTTCTCTCTCTCTTACTCTCTCTCTTTTCTCTTCTTCCTCTCTTATACTTATTACTTGAAAAATATTTACGAAGCCAACGTATTCGTAGACCCACGTATACGATTACCATATCGGTTAACGTAGACGAGGAGAGAGAGTAAAAGTTGTTTTCTTCCCGGGATCACTTTCGTATCGGGAGAACGATCTTTCGCGATCATGGATAGTATTAAGAGAGAAAATTGTGGAACGCGCGCGCGCGACCTGGCCGGGCCGTGCCACGAATTAATTAGTTCGACCGTGTGGCACATCTTGAATGAGAGAACTGGTAAGTGCACGCGCGTACGCCAAGTTTATCGCTACGTTGGACGTGCCTCACGTGAAATTACGTTGTCGTCGAGGAAATTAACGCGATCTTATTTTATCGTAAATATCTACGCAGACATCCACGAAAGCACGTATTTACATGCACAAATGTATAAAAATATCTACGTGCGATAATGTAAAAATATCGGGAAAAGAAGTTATTTTTTTTTTTTATTTTTTTTTTTTTTATTTGTCTCTTTCCTTTTTTCTTTTTTCTTTTTCTTCTTTTTTCTTTTTTTTTTTTTTCTTTTTTTTTTATAAGGACACCATTCCTTCTTTTTTTTTTTCTTTTCAAATTTTCTTTTCGAGAAAAATAAAAATAAAAAGAGAGAAAGAGAGACAATAAAATAAATTCTCTTTAGCTTCCACGAATTCGTTTCGGTTCTTTAAGCGTTTCCTTGTGGAAATTTCGTATGTTAAATTGCCGGAACAAATCGTAGACACGTTAGACCGTGTTTTCTCTCGACGATCGTGTTCCTTCTCCGAAAATTTGTCCGTCTCGCTTTCACTAGTCCCTACATCAAGCATGCACAACACTGGGTTACCCTTGCAACCCTTAAACTCGATCCACCCCTACTGAATTCACCCTTACGACTGCACACGTGTTCACCTAAAACGCACATATACGGTGTACATGTATGTCGTATTTCTCTAAGTATGCGGGTGTGTCTTTATCCGTGAGAGCATGTAAGTAGACGTCGTTGATTCTCCGGAGACGAGTAAGCCCAAGTTCCTCTTAAAGTGATCGATCTTAAAAAAAAAAAAAAAGAAAATAAGAGGATATTCTTTTCTTATACGAGAGAAGAAAAATTACGTGACAGTGAATCTATTTTCATATTGTTTTTTCTTTTTTTTTTCTTTTTTTTTTCTTGCGATCTTCACGAGATTATGGAAGATCAAAAAGAAAGATTTCAAAGTTTATCTATGACGGTAATTGTCAAGTAATCAATTTTAATTGAAAAGGGAAAGATTACATCTTTTATAAACTCACACATGCGCGCGCATAGACAATGTACTTTCTTTACAATATATTTATGGGTTTTGAATAAGTATCGTATTGATAAATACCATTTGGAATGACTTTTTAATCTTTCGTATAAATTATAATAAATTTTATTGTATATGTTAAGTAAAAAAAAAAGAAAGTCATTTGAGATGGTAATTGTCTTTTTTCTTATACGAGAATAAAAATATTATGAAACAGTAAACTCATTTTTTGCCTGCTTCTTTTCATATATATATATATATATATATATATATATATATATATATATATATATATGAAAATATATATATATATTTTTTTTTTTCTATCGTACTTATACTTTTTGTATAAGTATCACATTGATAATTGCTATTTGAAATGATTTTTTAATCTTTCGTATAAATTTTATTGAAGATATGAGTAAAACAGGAAAAAAAAAGAAGAGAGAGAGAGTATGTGTGTGAGAGAGAGAGAGAGAATCACTTAAAATAGTAATTCTCTAGTGGTTCATCGTATACGTTCTATGACAAAATTGTTGATTGTTTTCTTTCCGGAAAGAAAGACATAACATTAGCAAATTAAATGTTCGCATAACAACTAATTACAGTTACTTGAAGATCAACGATTGATATTGTAAAGAGTAAACGTGGACAGTCTTATACCGCGAAAAGAAAGATTAAAGTGGTATCGTTAATCGTTTCTCGTAATGACTGTGAGAGTCGTTAATCGACGATTAATGCTGGGTAATTAGTACGATCGTTAAGACTTACAACGGAATTTCATACAAATGAATCTTCAGCGTTTAGTACGAAGTCAAGAGAGGAGAAATAAATAAATAAAGAAAGAAAGAAAGAAGAAAAGGAGAATTCAATTTCTGGGAATGACGATTAGGAAAATTTGTTTTGAAATTCGAGAAAGGTGTTACCGTGGTTATCTCCCTTCGTTCTTCTTTCTTCCCTTCCTTCCTTCTGTCCTTCCTTCCTACCTTCCTACCTTCCTACCTTCCTTCCTACCTTCCTACCTTCCTTTCTTCCTTCCTTCCTTCGTTCCTTCCTTCCTTCCTTCCTTCCTTCCTTCCTTCCTTCCTTCCTTCCTTCCTTCCTTCCTTCCTTTCTTCTGCCCTTCCTTCCTTCCTTCCTTCTGTCCTTCCTTCCTTCCTTCCTTCCTTCCTTCCTTCCTTCCTTCCTTCCTTCCTTCCTTCCTTCCTTCCTTTCTACCTTCCTGCCTGCCTTCCTTCCTTCCTACTTTTCTTCCTACTTTCCTTCCTACCTTCCTTCCTTCCTTCCAGTTGTTATTAATGAACGCTAAGCTCTCTACGACTAACTAATTACCAACGGCACTTGACATTAATTATTATCGTTCGGTTAACCGAACATTAATTTTGCTTCGCGAACTTCGATTTCTCTCTTCGATCGAATTCCTCGCGTAAATTCCATGAAAAGAATGTATGCTCTGCGACAAAAAAAAAAAAAACAAAAAAAAAAAAAAAAAAAAGAAAAAAGAGAAAGAGAAAAAAGAAAAGAAAGAGAGGAAAAAAAAGCACGTCTCGTTTTTATTCGATAATATAATTTCATTCGCAAAGTTTAAAAGTTAGTAGTTACCTGAAAGTTCAAAGTTCCGGCTTAACCGGACCATTTAATTTCTCAAGCAAGATACTATTCTAATCGTAATGAGCTTACTTTTGCTCTTTCGCGTTTTCTTTCTTCTTCTTCTCCTGATCTTCTTCTTCTTTTTCTTCTTCTCCTCCTCCTCCTCATCTTCTTCTCCTCTTCCTCGTCATCTTCTTTTTCTTCATCTTCATCTTCATCTTCTTCTTCTCCTGATCTTCTTCTTCTTTTTCTTCTTCTCCTCCTCCTCCTCATCTTCTTCTCCTCTTCCTCATCATCTTCCTTTTCTTCATCTTCATCTTCATCTTCTTCATCTTCCTTTTCTTCTGCTTTTTTCTTTCTTCTCTTTCCTTTTCTTTTTGTTTTTGTCTTTTACTTTTGTAAGTTGTCTTTGTTTCTTTCTTTGTTTTTTTTTGTTAGTTTAGTTTTTTGTTCTTGTTTTCTTATTTTTTTTAATTTTTATTTTTTTCTTATCTCGAGAGAGAGAAAGAAATGGGGTGGGGGATGGGAGGAAGTGTTGTTATATAAAATATTCTATATACCGGAAACTCGCCGAGTTTAGCCTCGAAACGGAGGAGAAAGACTCGCAGATACATATATAAAGCGTTTTTCCACAACGAGAAGATCAATATCAGTCTGCATTCGATCGATTCGTTCCCTCGAATGCGACGCTCTTTGTCGCCTATCCCTCTCCTCTCTTCTTTCATTCAAACATTCTCTATTATTCGACGATGATGATGATGATAATGATGATGATGACGACAATGATGATTTTCCATTTGCTTTAAAATAATTATTTTTCATTAGCATAAAATGATATAAAATAAAAAGCAAATGAATAATAAACGAACAAATAGTTCCATCATTTTACTTCATTCAAATGTTTCAATATATTTATTAATTTATAAAAATGTATGTGTACACATGTGTGTCGGTCGTGTATTGTCCATGAAAGAACGTAAAAAAAAAAGAAAGAAAGAAAGGAAAACAAGGCATCTGCTAAAAAAATTTAATAAAACAATTACAATAATAATAATAAATCATTGATCCATGACAAAATCAGAAATTATTTATTTTTTGATCCCGATCGAAAATCGTCCTTTGAAATGAAAAAATCAAAAAAATATTAAAATAAATAAATAAAGAAAAAAAAGAGAGATCGCCGTAATGAGAAGTTTCACAGATGAAAAATCAATTTTATAAGCCTTCGGCGATCTTTCTTTGCTTCGTTTAAATTTCGCGCCAATTCAAAACTCGCAATTTCGTGTTTCACGCGACACACGACTCACACAAGGAACACATTGTACACAGCACACCTAACATGACCAATCGGTCTGATCTGACAG